GGGATGCACCCACGAGTGCTGAGGGAGCTGGCGGATGTTATCGCTAGGCCACTCTCCATCATCTTTGAAAGGTCCTGGAGATCAGGAGAGGTGCCTGAGGACTGGGAGAAAGCCAATGTCACGCCAGTCTTCAAAAAGGGCAAGAAGGAGGAGCCAGGAAACTACAGGCCTCTCAGCCTCCCCTCCATCCCTGGCAAGGTGATGGAGCAGCTCCTCCTGGAGGTGCTTACTAAGCATCTGGAGGACAAGAAGGTGATCAAGAGTAGTCCACATGGATTCACCAAAGGGAAATCATGCTGGACCAACCTGATAGCCTTCTCTGATGGGATGACTGGCTGGGTAGATGAGGGCAGAGCAGTGGATGTTGTCTCCCTGGACTTCAGCAAGGCTTCTGAAAACTGAAACACAGGCAGTTCCATCTGAACATGAGGAAGAACTTCTTTCCTGTGAGGGTGAGTGAGCACTGGAACAGGTTGCCCAGAGAGGTGGTGGAGCCTCCTTCCCTGGAGGTATTCCAAACCTGCCTGGACACGATCCTGGGCAATATACTCTAGAGGACCCTGCTTGAGCAGGGAGGTTGGACTAGATGCTCTCCAGAGGTCCCTTCCAACCTCAACCATTCTGTGGTTTGGCCTTTTATGTAAGAATGGTTAAGTTGTAGGCTTTTTGACAGGTAGAAAGTGCATTTTAGTGTAGTATAAAATTGTTGGCTATCAAATTTTTGATAATGAAAGCATTGAGTCATACAGTACAAATAGCTAGTCAGTTATTTAAAATTTTGTTTCTTGATTGTTGTTCATACTGCATGTGCTTCATTGTTAGGTTTCTTGTGTGAAACTAGCTATGTAATTGTTGCAATATACATTAAAATGGGCAACCTAACTTCTTAAACTTTTGAAGTGAAAGAAAAATGGGATGAAAAGATTTAATTCATCTGTATTACATGCATGCTGTTTGACTGTAGAATTATACTTGGAAATGCTCAGTTTGTTGGCACTTGATTACAGAGAAATAAAATGACGTTAGTAAATACTGTATTTACTTTTTATGTTTTTCAGTAGGGGAAGAGGATAAGTTTGTGATCTCTGTGCATTTCCAGTAATATTTGTTCATTCTTTGTTTTCATACCTTGTTCAACTGTTCATGTCCTTTATCTTCATACTGTGTGGATTAGACACTTAATAAATTAACATGCTCATGCACTGAGCTGCAAATCTAATAACTGCTTACTTCTACAATCAAATTAAAACTTCAGAAATGAGCAGTTCCGTTGATATTCTTGTTGCAAAGAATTTAGTTGTATTTCTCTATTCCCTGCTCTGCACACACTCCACGTTCCTGATAGGTTCGTGCAGTTCTTACACAGAGGTGGAACTGGGTATATTTTAACTGATACCATACTCTCTCTTTATTTTGGAGAAATTTGTGCTAGAGTAAAAATGATGGTGTATGGTTTATTCAGTTTGTATTGCTATAGTTAATCCAGTGAAAAGTATCCTTTATAATGTGTTCAAAGACATAGAGTTAGAAGTACTAGTGTACCAATACCAGCTCTTCAACTTGCAGATGTTGTTAAAATGTATGTGTAATCTCTTGGCATCCTGTATTCAGTTGTAACAAAATTCTATTCAGTTCATACAGAATTTCCTGTACATTTTTGAGAGCAGAACTGGGCCATTTGCTTATGTGTATCTGAAAATTATTTTAAAAGCAATAGTCTAAAACGAGCCATGTTTGCCTTTGCTGTTGCAGTGGAGGAACACTAGATATTTACTAATACTTTGCAAGTACTTCATTTCTAGCTGCATGGAAGGCCTTCAGTTTCTTCTATATCTTCATGACTTTTCAGTTCTCTTGAGCAATGATGCTAGTGGGCACCTCCTTCTTGTAGTGAATTTGAGCAAATTCCCGCTATGTTGAAAGTATCTTAAATAATCATTATGAACATTAGTATTAAACATTAATGAGTGCTTTCATGCATTCTTTAAGACTTATTCCTTGTGCTCAAGTACTAAGGCATTGAGATTTTATTATTGTAAAGTTCTCTAGCTGCTCTTATTCACTGAGAGCCTTCAACATGAAGTTCATGTGCTCTGTGAAATGGTGCAACACAAAATGAAATACGCTGGATCTTGCTCAGAAAAAAAACATGTCTTGAATGTGTTTGAAAGCATGTTTTTTTTTTCCCCCCCTGCTCCATTTTTCATCATTCAGAGGGTAACTGGTAAGAAGGAAAACAGATGCATATTGAATAGCTCAAATTATTGAAGGCTGGCCAGAGTGACAGTTACTTCCAGCTTCTTGCAGCTATGCAAGGAGTCTGTCACAGTCTGATCCAAGTGAATGGACAGACCGTCACCCGGGTGCGCGTTCTTTGTCAGTAGTGGTTTGGGCCAGTGGATGATGATGCACTTTTTTGCTAAAAGTCACGTGTGTCCAAAGTTCACATGGAAGAGTGGTGGATTTTTCTTAACAGGAGCAGTGACATACTCAAACTGGCTAGACAGTGGTGGTTGCTGTGGAATAAATGCAGCTGGTGAGCTGCTTGTGTCTCCTTTTGTCATTGTTTCAGATTCATTAGGCAGCTCTGCTGAGTTACTGCTTTGCTCTTGGAAACAAAACTGTCTTATATTTTACATGTTAAGCAGTAAGGATATATGAAAGACTGTGTCAGTACTTAACCACTGTTGTTTGCTGGACTGAGACTTGAAGAGCAACCTCTTTCTACTAATTGCATTTCCAGTTAAAACAGCTTTGAAGGGAGTTACAATAGCAAGGTGAGGAAACAAGCTCCTGGCTTACCTCCTGATTGTTGGCATGGTGATATACTCACTGAAGAGAGGTTCCTTCCTAGTTTTGTGACGAAATTTTGTTAATCATACAGCAATGCTGGATGTGTCTATTTCTGAAACCCTATATGCTTTTGGACAAAAGGGGGGAAAAAAAAGTATGCCGGAATCCTTTTGCATTTTAAGTATGTAATCTTGTTTAGAAAGTACTGAATCCAGAATGTTTTAACTTAGGCTGACAAATACAAGGCTATAACTTAGCTACTGAAATGTCTTAGACTCTGTGGTTATAGAACAAGCCTACACAATGGTGCTTGTGCCCTGAAAGAACCAGTCCAGTTTCTTTAAGAACAAGGCAGGATCAGTAGTGTTCTTTAATTACGCTCCATATTGATGCTTACAAATACCATCTTCTAGAATTAACCAGATGCTGGGTTTATTAGTTTAGTACAAATATTTGAGAGAAAAATGCTGATACTCTTGGGGCAAAAACCTATGACTACCTCAAATTCAGAGGGGTGGGGTGGGAAGGAAGGGGGATGAGGTGTGTGTTTTTTGTTTTTTGTTCATTGTCTACAGCATACTGTTTCCAGAAAGAGGAGCAACTTGCTAAATCCTAAACTTTTTGCCAGATAGTTCTCATATATCTCAATCCTTAAGCCCTCTTATGACAGCTTAATAAATTGAAGCTTTATTAAATTTTGCCTGCTGTGTTGTATCTTTTGTAATCGGTTGTAACTAAGTTCTAGGTAACAAAAATAAGTTGCTAGGAACAGAGAAGCTGATGGTGACTTACAATCCGCTGTATAGCTCATTCTCAGTGTAACTGGCTGAACTGGAACCTGTTTTGCTCTTGGAAAGGCTTTCCTGATGTATTGCAGATCTGCATGGTTTGTTTTGTGGCTAAGCGGTAGGAAATATTTGTTACTTGCAGTTTGTCTTTGCGGAGAGAAGAGATCTGTGGTTAAGCCTAGGGAGGGAATCTGGTAGGGCTGCAGCTTGTTGTATCTGAAACCATGCAATAGACTTTACCCAGGTGCTCGGGACAATATATTAACCTGATAAATCCAGCATAAGAGTGAATTCTAGAGAGTGATATTTGTAAATATCGATATGAAGCATAATTAGAGCATACTATTGGAGCTCCTGCAGGGCTGTCAGCCACAACGCTCTACCTTGCAACTGACTGTGGAGTTTATTCACTTGCTGCTATCCTTCCTTTTCCTGTCTTTTCAGCAAAGTGCATCATAAAGCAGCGCCACACTTGCTGTGTGGCTAGATATGCTTTAAAAACAAACAAACGAAACCCTGACGGCTTTGTGGCAGTGCCATTCGGGTATCAGCAGTATATTGTAACAAAGACTTAACTAAGCGTGAGAGATTACTTTCAAGGATGTTCATTTTGTGTTACATAGTTATTAATCTGAATCGTTTGTACTGTTTACCATAGCTGACCAATAAGAGCTAATTTTTGTTATACTAATCTGTTAGTGAAAGACTTACATGATCACTTTTTACACTTGATAGAAGTTAGCATTATTGTGTTCTTGTGTTGTTTGCATCTTTCCAATAATTTACTGAGTACTTGAATATTCTTGCCTGTTGTGTAATCCTGCTTATTTAAGCAAGATGAGATCCAGCTAAGCTCAGCCTTAGGCAGTACAATTTTTTAGCTGATGACCATTAAACTTAATAGCAGGGCTGCAGGACAATTATTTCTTACATAATTACTTCAGTTACTTGTTTAAACGAAGGGTAGAGGGATCGTCTGTGCTAACAAAGATTCTCATAACAGCAGACTCTAGAGTAGAAAAGCTTGTCAAGAAAAGGCCTTTTTTGCTATTGTCTGAACCACCTGTCATTCTAACTCTAGATGTTGTAATATGTTAGTGTGATGAGACATGGTAAGTTCAGAATTTTGTCTTGCGTTGAGAAGTCCTGCCTTCCCTTCTCTTTCCC